CTAGGGGGAACTTATCCAGAATGAAGAAATCTGTTTTGTACTTCTCCTGAAAAAAGTGGATCAATGGATCAACCAAAACCTAAAGCTATCTATACGCATACAAATGAATTCATGGTGTTTTTTGTATAAAGCACGCTAGTCTTGAAGAAGTCACGAGCTATCCAGCCCGTTCTGATCTCCTCAGAGCGCTATCTAATCCACTTACTGGCTCATTCCTCAAAGGCATTGAGCATAGACACGATAGTTTGGTTCTTTGTCTAAAATGGTATCAGGTGTGGTATAGAGTGGGAGAAAATGAAGAAAAGCGAAGTGAAACGGTCATAAGACCGCGAAAAAGCAGGTGTGGTATAGAGTGGGAGAAAATGAAGAAAAGCGAAGTGAAACGGTCATAAGACCGCGAAAAAGCCTTTGCTCTGCACGACACAGGACGAGTATACCGCTGACAAGAAGCAATTTGGAAGAGTTCCCCGTTAAAATTGAGCCAAGCGAAGCTCCAGTAGACAAGAGCTGCACGCAATGAAGCATCGCAAATGATTCATGTTTGTTGTACTTCGTAAATGAAGATATCATAAGATACTCCATGAGTTAAGACAGGAGCATCAGCAGCAATATGGCTATCAGTAGTGTAGCAATGCGGCCCTTTTTGGGCGAGCGTGCAATGGGTGTCTGGGTAGACAAGTTGCACCTCGGCTAGGCGCTATTAACGACATCCTTGGTTGGAAAAGGTGCCACGCAGAGCTTGCTCAGGGGTACAAAATTACTTTGTGCTAGGCCCTATACAACTTGTTGATTTATCGTGCCACTTGCCTTTGAGGAAAAGGTTAGGCCACATCAAACTATAGGCGTTCCATTTCTGCGCAGATCTCACCTTGACGAGACGTCCTAGTTGCTTCTCCACAGGGGTGCTAAGATCATCCTCATCGCCCATTTCAACACCATCCTCACGCAACATTTTCACTGCATCTGGATATCTTAAAAAAAACAACATAATGGTCAAATATGATGAAGATTCGGGAAAAACAATCGAGACGGTCAACGAACTTCAGAATGAGTGCTGGCTCACAAAATTCGAAAGGTTCTGCAGGATATTGTCGCCCCACCGCTTCGATTTCAGCTGCATAGTCTCTTTTGAGTCCTTTGAATATGTTAATGAGAACAGCTCCAATCGTTTCCAACACCTGGATGCAAAAATGAAGAAAATAGAACAACAGTGGCAAGATAGAATGGAAAGGTAAGATGGAGAACGAAGAATGAAAGGGTTAAGAGGCAGAAAAAGCAAAATAGAAGAAATAAAGTGCGGGATTCAAAATGTTAAACTCCCAAAAGTTAACAGCAACAAACCTCATGATAATGGAAGTTGAAGGGCCATCTCCAGATCAAAGTCCCACAAAAACTCTGTCATGTGGTCGATGCAGTGTTAAGAATTTTCTCTTCAGCTCGGAACACACCACCGATGGTGAACACCTGAATAAAACTACATAGCTTATCAAGTCATAAATCAGTTATGCTTGAGTACCTTTCCGAAATCGCCAGCAATAGCCATCTGCTTGTAAAGTTGTGGAGACTGGGCCAAATATGCAGAACCTTTGAAATATGACACCTGAAAATCGAAATGTGGACAATCAGTTGAGAATCGCTAGCTGTTCAAGATCTGATGCGGAGAAAGGCATTACAGAATAAACAAAAGTGTTGATTGAATGATTCAACCATTAACTGCTCAGTAGTGTTGATATTTAGGTTCACTTACAGCTGAGTACTTGATAAGTTGAAAAAGTCCAACACTCTGCCAAATTATTCAAGCAAGGGTAATATATACAGGGGGGAGGCAAAAAAAGTCACTTTCCTTCATTGACTTTCGAGGCGCTATAAGTTACACTTTATTAAATTCTGATCGGACATTTTTACCACCATATTAAAGAGCATACTATCATGACACTCCGCCACAGCCTTCTGGACGAGCGCCATCGAGAGATTCTGGCACGCGACCGCGATGTGGTGCCTGAGATCAGCGAGATAGTCGATTTCTCCGCCACCGTAGACCACCCTATTGAACTCCGCCCGAACCGGGTAATTGAGGGGATTCAGGTCAGGTGACCTACTTGGATATTCCATCTTCTTTAGGTACTCAGCCCCCTTCCATTCCAAGTAGGCGAGAGTTTCTCCAATGCCCTTCGATTCCATGTGGTGGCACCCAATGCTGTAGCAGGTACGGGCGACATGTGAGGAGGATATTCTTCACGAGTTGCTCGATGTAACCGCCAGCGCTCACCTTCAGTCCGGGGTCCACGAAGAAAATATTGGTCTTTCCATTCCAGGTACGTCCGGTCCATACCATCAACCCGCGCCTTGGCGACTGCGGTGAAGATGATGTCCTAGACCGTAGCGACGTTGTCGGAGCTGCTCGATGATGGAGGTCTTCCAGATCGAGAGTACTGGTCTCCAGGTAGCTATCCATGGGTGACTCCATACTAGAAGTTTCGCAGCTGTTTGGAGGTGACATGAATTCCAAAGGTCTTCTCCAGTCAGGCTGCGACT